TACCGCACAGACTCTATCACTGTATATTTGTTTGGCCTTCACTATGGTGTCTGTGTTTGGTATCTGTGTTTTGGGGACTTCAGTGATGTTGAGATCCATCAAAGGGCAGCTATTACGCAATAGTATGGCTACATCTTTGGACTTTGGTTCAGGCGAATCAGCCAGAGAACATCTTTTGAACTGCCGGTTCACTAGGGGGTAGTGCCATTGTTCTGTGAACTGTGTTTCTTGGAGCATGAGTGCGTGTCTTTTTGCTGGTATATTAAAGCATTTGGTATTGATTTAGGTGCACGGCACTTTCAGATGTGGGGATGACATGATTTGCACCGTGGTAGGTCGTAATAAGAAGGGTGTAGAGTGAGAAAGAAGTAAAAAAAAAAAAAAGAAAGAAAGGGAGAAGAGAGTGGACGTGGGGGTTGAAACAGGGTTTGCACCCACTGGCCAACACGGGAAAGCATGTGCATCTAAGCGACAACTGGGCTTATCAATCTCACCAGTTAGTTGTGGGTGGGTGACCAGGCAGGTACATGAACTGTCTGACCCATCGGGTAAGAGGAAACGGGTAGATACCCTTAATGAGAGCATGTACAGGTGGAAATCTGTGTGAGTAAGAGAGAGAGTGTTATTCAGTCAATGGTGGATAGCTGCGTTTGACCAGCTTTCACCATAAAGACGTGCCAGCTTTTGGGCCTGTGGGTGAGTGGGCTAGAGGGTGGTCTGTGGGCGGTGTCCAGTCTGGGGGAGATGAAGTCTCTGCAGTGGGGTCTATAGTCTGGGCTGCGTCGGTTTGCAGGAGTCAGCTTAAAGGTGTAACGCCAGGCCTAATGCAGACCGTGTTGGTTGAGTAGAGACTTGTGTTTTCGCAGGGTACTGGGTGCTAGGTCTTAAAATTGTTGAACTCGGTGTCCGTCTACCTGTACTGGACTATTACTGGCAGCTGTAATGGTCCACTCCTTAATATGGAAATAATGAAGCTGGGTGATGACGTCTTTTGGCTGAGCCATGTTTGTAGTCTGTGGTCTAAGAGCCTGGTGAGTTCTGTCCATGAGCATGTCTGTAGAGGTGGCGTTGGGGTAGTAGGCCCCTAAGTGCTTCTGTCAGTTTATCTTGCAGTAGTTCCACAGAGACCGACTCAGGCAACCCTCTGATCCGGGTATTATTCTGGCGGGTGCGGTTACTCAGGTCCTTGTTGGCATCCTCGAGAAGGCAGATCTGCTCCTTGAAGTCCCGAAAAAAAATGTGCTATGGCTATTAACTACTTTAGTAATCTTGAGATGCGCGATGCGGCCAGTTTGAGGTTTCAGGTGTTTTTTAAGCTCATCAGCTACGTGATTCTTCCGCTCTCTAATGAAGTACGACATGTCTTGTCTGGTGGGGGGAGCATCTGTTCTTTCCAACAGTGCTGTACTGCTAATGTCCAAGTTGGAGTCTGAGAGTGGCGGTTGGGAAGATGGCGTACCGGGCTTCTCCGGCCTAGTTCTAAAAACCAGTGCCAGCGAGGAGTGCCTCGATTTCCGTCCTCTGCCCATGATCTGCAATGTAGTAGAGGTGCTCAAGTGCATTTGGGCAGGTATGGGGTGAGTGTGTAAGGCATGTGTGCTGATGATTGCTATGGATGAAAGCATGGTCTCAGCCAAGCTCTGAGATTATGCTGCCATCTTTTTGGACAGTTAGGATCCGCCTCCAAGGTATTCCTGTTTTATGTGAGCTAAACTTAGAACTATAATCATCTATTTTAATTTCACTAGTGTGATATATTCTTGTGAGTACTCTTATTGTTTAGGTACTTCACAACTACCTCTTCATCATCTGAATAATTAAATCAAGCACAGACATGTTAGGTACATTGTTTTATTTAAATACTATCCACGGGGGGCGTGGCCTGGACGTTGATGGCGCCAGTCGCACACTAGCTGAGCTCCTAGGCCTAAACCGCCATAATTAGCATTTTACCCTGCATCTTCAGCGATGGTGCGGACCAAGAAACCTACTGGCACTGGGAGCATGCCCCCGGGGTCCCCGAGACGTGGTACGGGCACCCTAGATGAATTTCTAAGCACCCCGGCGGGACTCTGGGGCACGGCGCCTTCCGACAATATGGCGGCTGTTTCCCCTAGTACAACCAGCGGGGGGGACTCCATGCCCGACTTCAGCCCCGATGATGCCCTGCTGTCCATCAGGGCTGAGCTCTCCAGGATTGGGAGCAGCATGCTCACCAAAGCAGACACAGACCTCGCGGCCCTCACGGAACAAGTGGATACAGTGGAGGCGGAAGCACGGATCTGCTGCCAGCAGACAGGGTAATATGCTGCTGAGCCTCAGACGCCAGGTGGAGGACCTGGAGAACCGTAGCCGGAGGCACAACGTCCGGATCAGGGGCCTGCCGGAGCCTGACACAGAACCACTGGTGATCACCCTACAGCAGCTCTTCGGCCAGCTCTTAGGCCGTGACGCACCGCCCAACATCCGCATAGACCGGGCCCACCGCGCCTTGGGACAAGCCAGGCCGGACGGCAGGCCCAAGGATGTGGTGTGCTGTCTCCACTCCTTCCCGCAGAAGGAGCAGATCATGGCGGCGGCCAGGAACCTACCAACGGTCAGTTTCAGGGGTGCTGACCTGGCGCTCTTCCAGGATCTTTCCGGCCTCACACTGGATGCCAGGAGGGCGCTGCGGCCCATCACAGCAGCCCTACGCGACAAGGGGATCCCCTACAAGTGGGGGTTTCCCTTTAGCCTGCAAGCAAGACAGGGATCCTCCTGGCACTCACTCAGGATGCCAGATGATGCCCCGAGATTCGCTCGGGCACTACACCTTCCCCCTATTCGGATCCGCAACTGGCTGCTAGACGAACCGTTGGCCCCCCGAAGAGGAGAAGAAACAGGCCTGCAGCCCTCTGCAACCCATTTGGGCCGGCTGTCACCACCGCGCCGCTGGGGAGGACCAGCGGGGGCTGGGGAGGACCAGCGGGGGCGGAGGAGTGATCTGGAACTTTGATCCTGCATCGGAGCGGGCGCCCCGTGGCCCCTCTGCATGAACTGTAGCGGTTGGTGGGCCTTTTCCCTTTCCCCCCCTTTCCCTTTCCCCCCTTCCTGACTCCTGACTGGCCCTCGCTCTCAGCCCCCACCTCCTCTATCTCTCTCTCTCTTTCTCCCTCCCTCCCTCTCTCTCTCTCTCTCTCTCCTACGCTCTCCCCTCTTTCCTCCCGCGCTCTCCCTTTCTCTCCTTTACAGCTACCAGTTTCCCCCCCCTTCACGCCCCATATTCAAGGATGAGGTCAGGTCACTTTCAGCAGGCGGATCTCTGCCTGTGGTCGAACAACGTTCCGGGCCTTAACGCCCCGGAACGGCACTCACACCTTCTCCGCACCCTGTTGGCGGCACACGCGTCGCTGGCATTCGTCCAGGAAACTCATTTCCAGGGGCGAAATGCACCGGCGCTGCGGGACACCCGCTTCCCGAACGGATACTTTGCCAACCACCCACATGCCAAAAAATCGGGGTGGCAATTCTCATAGCCCGTATGGTGCCCTTTCAAAGCCAGGCTGAATTGGCGGACCCAGAGGGCCGCTACATATTCGTGAAAGGCACGATAGCCGGACATCCCTATACCTTGGCGTGTGTCTATGCACCCAATACAGCACAGCATAACTTCCTGACACGCACCTTGCACGCTCTGGAACGCTTCAGAGAAGGCATGTTGATCCTGGCGGGGGATCTCAACCTAGCCCTGGACCCACGTCTAGACACCTCCCTAGGAACTAGCTCCCTATCGGCTTCCTACCAACGCAAGGCCCTCACGGCCCTCAAGAACTCGGGGTTGGCAGACTCGTGGCGAGTGGCCCACCCATTAGGGAGGGACTACTCCTACTACTCTGCGGTCCACAGCCGCTACAGCCGGTTGGACTATATCTTCCTCCCCATTGAATACCTCTCGCTCTTGCAATCCAGTGGGATCCACGCGGCAACTTGGTCGGACCACGCTCCGGTCTGGACTAAGATTGCCTCCCCGCTGTACAGACCACGGGAGAGGCAGTGGCGGCTCAATGAGCAGGTCTTGGAGGAGCTGGAGGCGACAGTGGAGATGGGTGACGTACTGCAGAAGTACTTTGAGGAGAACACCACCCCAGACGTGGAACCATCGATGATATGGGAGGCACACAAATGTATGATCCGCGGCCACCTCATACGTTATTGTACTCAACGGAAGAAAGCCCAAAGGCAAGCAGTCACGGACCTGGCACAACAAGTTGCAACCCTCGAAACCCTACATAAGTCTACTCTATCGGAAGATACCTACAGAGAACTCCTGGAGGCGCGGAGAAACCTCAAACAATTGCTCTCGCAAGGCCTTCCCCCGGACCATTCGCAGATCCCGACAACACTTTTACGAATACTCGGATAAATGCGGGAGGCTCCTGGCCTGGCGCCTACAACGGGAACGAAGACTCACACACATAACCAAGATCCGTGACCAGACTGGCGTGCTCACTCAACGCCCAGACCGAATAGCGACGGCCTTTCACCATTTCTATACGGACTTATATAACATCCCAGAAACACGAGGTGCAGCTGCCCGGAAGAGGCGTGAAACCGAGATCGCGCACTACTTGGAACAACATATCTCCCGGACTCTTATCAAAGAACTGAAATGGAGGAACCAATTACCCTAGAGGAACTCAAATACGCTCTTAAGATCGCCAAAGCCCATAGGGCGCCAGGCCCGGATGGCCTTCCTGCGGCTTATTATAAAAAATTTCAAGACATCCTGCTGCCACACCTCCTGGGTACCCTAAATCACCTACTAGAAGGCGGACACCTCCCGAGAGATACACTGGCTGCCACCATCTCTCTTATTCCAAAAGACGGGAAGGACCTGACGAACTGTTCCAGTTACAGGCCGATCTCCTTACTCAACTCTGATTTGAAGCTGTTCACTAAAATACTGGCCATGCGAGTGGGGCGCGTATTGCCAGACCTGGTGCACCCGGATCAAGTGGGTTTCATCCCCGGCAGGGAGGCACGCAACAACACCATCAGGGCTCTCAACGTGATCCACCTGGCGGGGAGCGGCCAGAGGGGGGATCCTCCTCCTCTCGACCGACGCCGAGAAGGCGTTCGATCGGGTGGACTGGGGATTCATGCTGGCGACGCTCCGTACGATGGGATTCGGGCCCCACATGCTGACCTGGATAACGGCCCTCTACACGACACCAACAGCCCGCCTACGCATCAATGGGGCCCTAACACAGCCATTCAACATCCGCAATGGCACGAGGCAGGGGTGTCCGTTGTCCCCCCTCCTGTTTGCCCTCTCCCTGGAACCATTCCTGGGGGCGGTCAGACGGGATGGGGGAGTCATGGGCCTCACCTACAAAGGTCTGGAGCAGAGAGTTGCAGCATACGCGGATGACCTCCTCTTCTTTCTTGCCAACCCACTCATCTCTCTCCCGAACCTACTAGCAAGGTTTCGGGAGTACGGCCTGCTCTCTAACCTTAAACTCAATGCTGAGAAATCGGAAGCCTGCCCGTTAAACCTATCTGCTGCTGACACGACTCATCTACGGACACAGTACCCGTTTAAGTGGTGTGCGGATAAGCTCAAATACCTTGACATCTGGCTCACCGGAGACTTGACGCGCCTATTCCAGGAGAACTTTGTCCCCATTCTTCGCACACTACAGCACGACATGACGACCTGGGGCGGCCTGTGCATTTCATGGTTCGGGAGAATCAATGCCTTAAAATTAAACCTTCTCCCTCGACTTCTTTACCTCTTCCAGACCGTCCCAATTATGATACCCAGGACCTTCTTCCAGACGCTTAATACTGCGATAATAAAATTTGTGTGGAAGACGGGACGACCTAAGGTTAACTCTGGGCGCTCCTGTCTCTGCCCAAAAGGATGGGGGGCTTAGCCCTCCCTTCACTAGTCCACTACTACAGGGCCACCCACCTGCTCCGGCTGGTGGACTGGCACACACTAAACTCAGACAAGTTCTGGAGGGAACTAGAGAACGTACAAGTGGATCGAAGGCTGCCAGCCGCGGTATGGACAGCGCACCCCCTAAAGGACCCCAGAATGACCCACAATCCGTTAATCCGGGCCACGACGCAGGTATGGAATGCCACCCGCCTGAAGGATGGACTCACCACGACGCCAGACCCTCTGACCCCTATAACCCATAATCCAGATATCGCGGACGGCCTGCCACCGGGGGATGTGGCGGGACTCAGGGACCAGGACTGGACATACATGAAACAGCTATGCTCCACAACGGGACTGAAAACATTGAGGGAACTGATCCCAGACGGCACCATTTCTTTAATGACTAGGTTCCGCTACCATCAGATCCAGCACCACACCACGCGCACCACCACGATATATGTCCCGCTGGGAACAAGCTACAGACCAAACAATAACAGACCAACAATGGGAGAAGATCCACGTGCTAACACACCAAGGTACGCTCAGCTCAAAACTGCAGGAACTTAATTACAAGATTATGGTCAACTGGTACAGAACCCTGGCGAAACTTCATCGAATGAACCGAGAAATTCCTGACGTCTGCTGGAGGTGAGGAGCCGAGGGTGGGACAGACCTCCACATCTGGTGGTCGTGCCCTACAATCCAGCAGTACTGGAAACAAATTCATTCCAAAATTCGGAGCATCGCGGACCCGGACCTACCGTTCCAGCCCTTACCGATGCTACTCCACCACACCACACGCCCTATAGCTACATACAAACGTTCCCTGACCAAACACCTATTAAATGCAGCGAAATCTCTCATCCCCACCAAATGGCGTGCAAAGGAGCCACCGTCGATGGAGCAATGGATGGAACGTGTGGAGGACATATACAGTATGGAATCCCTCTCGGCATCGCTGCATGGGAGACAAATGTGCTACCACCTGGCTCCCCTGGTGCACCTATATAGCCCAGGGATGAACCGCAGTGATCAGAGGCGGACGCCACTAGGTAGCGGAGAACTAGGGAAGCACCTGACCCGCCCCACAGTGACCATAAGAGATACAGGAACCCGCCTGTCATAACCCCCCCCCTTTTTTTTTCTTCCTTGCATCTTCTCTCTCTCTCTCTCTCTCTCTCTCACTGCACCCCTCCTTCCCCCCCCTGCCCCCGGGCCTGACTCTTGGCCCCCTTCTCCGTCCCCCCAGTCAGGAGATCATTGGCACGACGGTGATGGTCGGGAGACGCGGGGGATGGGGAGGACCCATGGCCCGGACGGGTGGCCCGGTGGGGGGCCTGGGAAGGGGGGGGCACATTGGAGGGGACAGCTATTAGAGCCGAACCCTGGACCGGGAACACATTCATGTCCAACGGGGGGGGCGACCGGACGTCCCACCCCGGGTACACAACCATATCAAACCTGACAAGGCAGACAGGGTGCTGACACGCCCCACCCAGCGCCAGTGTACCTGCGGCTCCCCACGATTGCTTCATGACTGACCACTAGATCGGTCCCTATAGATAGGGGACACCTCCCCAACCTGTCAAAATGGAGAGAATCCCCACCAGGACATCGACTTGACCCCTGACCGACGCTGACTAAATACACCTCAACTATGTACATAGCTTACACTCTTGCATACACGCGAGATACCAAGAGACAAGAAGGCCGCTCCATTAGGATGACAGTCCGCATCCAAAAGCCTCATCCCACAAGGGCTTTCATGTAGGGCTTGTTACAGCTCGCTAAAAGTTGCGTGTTTCTGTTATTTTCTACCCAAGGTAACTGTCAAGAGCATTGATACGGGATGTTATGCATTCGGCCATATATGAGCTGTAAAACCCCGACTGTTATCCTTTTTTCCTTCTGTATCCCATACACTTTATTATCTCAATAAAAACTGATTGGTTAAAAAAAAAAAAATACTATCCACGACCGGGAGGGCGAGGACAAGCACCCAAGATGGCCGAACGTACATTTTAGCTGCTCCTGCTAATTTGCCTCAAAATTAAGCATATTTTGCATTAATTCTGACATAAAATGCCCAAACAGCTATTTCTAACTATAGCAATTTACTCTGACTGAATTGGGGTGCCTGCATGGACACTCACCCTGAAACCTCCTGAGCCAGACTGCCTTGTAGCTGGGAGAGGCGGCCGATCTCCCGACTCTGGGCTCGATCCCTAGACGCAGCCGCCCATAGCCCTGTTTCCCCACACGGACTGGCTGGGAATATCCCAGTCCCCGCTGAGTGTCTGCCTGCAAAAAGCCCGGTGAGGTGAATAGTGGTACCAATCTACCAATTCTACAAGCCTGTAGGCTCGCAGCCATTCAGGATCCTGATTTCTGGGCCTTATATGAGGAACACATCGAGAGGGCCTTCACACACCTGTGGTTCCAGCTATGGGCCAGGATTGCTGACTGGGCACAGAGACAAGTGGCTACGGATGTACCTTGGCAGCCAACTTCGGCACTTCCAGCTAAACCCACCTTACTTCGCAGGATCTGTGTACCAAACACAAAGAGGAGGAGGCGGAGGCGGAGGGCACGCTGACTCAGGAGACGCCGCTCTGTAGCCTTCCGCCACCTACCCAGGCCACAGTCCTTACAGGGAAGTACTCCCAAGCACAGGACCACCCCTCTTGTTATGAGGCTTAGGCCCCTCTCATAGCAAGCCTCAGGGCCAAGTGGAGCTATGCTGATTACTGTAAGGCATGCTTGCTCAGTTTACATTTACTCCCTTAATTTACAACTACAGCAGTCTTATGCTTATCATACCGGTCTTATCTTAGTTACGTTCTCATATATATTTAACCAGTCTACTATATAGCTGTCAGCATGTTTAGTATATTATAAAAAGTGCTATTTTCTCATGTGCCATATAATTGTTCCTTTTGAAATGCTTGATTGTTACTATGGCAACACAGTCTGTCTGTCAATCTTCTGCACAACAAAATAAAGAATATAAAAAAAATACTATCCACGACCTCATAATACAACTATTCCATTCATAGGATCAACACTACGATCTTTACGTAAGACTCTTGCAGTGCCTATATGTTATGAGGTATGTACGTTATGCCCTATGCCAGTGAATAGGGATAGAGGAATTGGATTTAAGGTACAAAGCGGTCTAATAGTCCAATGTAGTAAAACAGTCCCGTGAGGCCAACAACCATCCTAAACACGGAGGTAAATCGCCTATAGGCCCAAAACAAACTTAGAGCCTCGCCTCACTCACATGCTGGGTTTTATAGTTAGGGCCTCTCCTGTCACAGCCAATCGTATTGAACTTCGTACTGTCACTAAGAGGCCAACACCCCGTCATAACGTTCGGTGGCTTCTGCCTACATCTCAAATCATAGAGCCTCTATAAGCCGCTTGGCACCTCACAGGGCTTCACCATCCCCTGGTCAGTTAGTATTTTGCCACTCTGGCATATAGGTAGAAGGCCAGTTTCACTCTGACAATGGAAAGGGGGAGGAGGGTTCTAATTTTATCTTATTAAATTGCCATTATTGATGTATCTTTATTTATATGTCTCAAGCTTTGGAACATGGAGATGAATTGTCTCTCTCTAGCACTCTAGCTAGACTCTGAACCCCTGTCAGGGGGGCAACAGACAGTCTAGCAGAAATGTATTAAATCATGTCACCTATCCTGACATTAATTCACTTCATATACAAGAGACTGGTGAAATTAGCATCTTCCAATACTGGAGTTCCTAACCCTCCTCTTGTCACTATGGTGTTAAACCCTGTTCACACAAACAAAGAAACAGTTCATCTTCCCAAGTAATAACCAGCACATCTAGCTCCCACTCCTATCAGGAAACACATTATAGAAGGGAAAGATAGGAACCTCTTATGTTATATTGATTGCCTAACAACAAAACGCTGGGAACTGGGAAATGCTGTCTTGTGTATTTTCTGCTTTTCTTTTTTTTTTTGATGTGCATATTGAGTTAACATACGTGCATGAGGTACCCCAACGGCAATCCTCACGCAATGTTGACACACATGTAACAATGGGGTAGTCGAGAATACATGCACCAATTTTTGTTTAAGCAGGTAGGTTATGAATACTTGAGTAAATACATATGCCTAGTAACACAAATTAGCTGTAACTGTTGTATGAGAGTACTTAATGCATTACTGGAATCATGCTTGGAGTACACATCTAAGCTAGGCTTCCAACATAGGTTTGCAGAGGATTAATGATCTAGACATGTATATAGGCAGATTAGATTACATAATTAAAACAAGTGTAGCGAATCTGACACAAAATAAGCTATATAAATGCTCTGTATTGTGGGGGTTTAGGGTAGTTGCAGCATGGCATTTAAGCAAGGCATAAGTAGTAGGCCTAGATCAAAGGCTGTCGTTTTGAGCCATACACTGCAATAGTTTGGACTATATTTACAGAGACATATACTGAGGACAACTGTCTCAACCTACACCCTGCGTGTGGAAGGTGTTGATATGATATTCATGGATTGAGTCACTGGTTTCAGCATCCCGCCATTCCCACATCTCACCGCTCCCTTGAGCATCTGCAGCCTCTTTCCCTTGGCTGCATGCTGGTGGAGCTCGGGGTCCCCCGATATTCCATCTTCGCTTGGGGTGGGTAGTGGTCTCCTGGGAGGGGGAGAAGCTTTGAGGGACTGGTTCCGTGGTGGGCAACTGCCCAGGGAGAGGTCGGCACATCACTGGTCCAGCGTGTCGGCGCTGAGGTTTTCGGCGGGACTTCCACCTCTTCTTTCCCGCCACTCGTGCTGCACCAGGGCCCCTTCTTGGAGCTGCGGGCTGCTGTTCGGCGTCCCGCGGGACTTTTGCTGGCAGATCCTCCTCAAGAGTGCCCCTGTGGTGAAAGAGCTTTGCCCAGAATTCTGTGAGCAGGCGGTCCAGCCTGTCAGCAAGATATGGCAGCGAAGGGCTGAGCGTGGAGCAGCACGTGGCGTCCACCATGATGAACTGTGCTGGTCCGGTGGTGCAGGTGAGACGGCTTCAGTATTTTGTATCTGCCTCACAGATTGTGGTTGCCGGGATATCCCTCACCGGCAGGGGGGGGGGAGAGGATGTGCGGGGAAGATCGTTGGATGAATATGCTGCAGGCAACTAAGGGATCGGCCGCTTCCCTCGTGCCGACTGGGCAGGCCTCAGGTCAATCCCCGGGAATGAGCCACCGATTTCGGTCGTTGGACCCGTTTGTCGCTGCCTTGTTAGATATTCGTCTCTGTAGCTTGTGGGCAGGCAATATTTAGGGCTGTTTTCTTTAGTTTTCTTTGCAAAAGGAGCTGTTTTGTGCGGAGCACACTCGATGTGCGACTGGTCAGCGTGGCTGCTAGGCTCCGCCCCCCTTTTCTGCTTTTCTTGACAAAATTTGGAGCTACTGCCATTGATTTTTTTCATTTCCTCAGCCTTCCCTTGTGACAGCTGTTGGAAAAAGGCATGGTCTTTTTCCAACAGACACTATCGCTCCATAGACATCAGTTTTGTACTCTTGTGCATCCACGATCGTACAATACGGATGCGCTCCTGGTTCCAAAAACGGAAGAAGAGATGGTGACTTCTGCAGGGAGAGGGGGACATTGCATCAAGTATATCTTCACCTTCTCTGCACCTCAAGGCCAATACACACAAAGCGGCAATGTCACCATTATGGGTGTTTACAAAATTTCCAGAGACACAAGATCAGGGGTGAAGAACCTTTTCATGTTGGAAGGCCACATTGATTTAGTTGTAATCAAAAAGGTCCACATTTAAGAAACCATCAATTAGATATACTTAGAAATGTACATTATTTTGTAAAAATCTAGGTACTATGTACTTAATAAGTTCAAACAAATGAAAACTGTTAATTTGCAAATTAACTAACCTATAAATGAATTTGATGTGTGTTTTTTTTTTGGAAAGCATTTGAGTATTTGGCTGCAGCATTGAGGTCGGCAGTTTCAGTTGATCCTCTAGATGTGTATCAGTTATTTGTGATCTTAAAGGCATGTTGATTTGGGTTAGGTAGGAGAATGTCAATTTGCTGCAATAAGTATCTGAAAAGCAAGAAAGCGTTTTTGGACATGTTGCCGAAGGCGTGCGTATTCTTCTGCATTTTTCATATTTCAATTGGATCTTTCTTAGCTTCAAACAATGACTTTAAAATGTCATGTACTGAGAGCTCAATCAGTTCCATCTGTAGTTCTTTACGTGCAACTTAACCAAAGGAAGTTAAGGAAAACATTTAGGAGTTTGGCTGAAATGCTAATTTGAGTTTGACGTCATGATTCTCAAAGTGAGTGAACCTGTGAGAGCCATCGCACTTTAGAATGATACAGCAAATACACAGTGAATACTTCATTGTTCAACTTTAGCATGTTATGAAACGGACGGTCGTGTTGCATCTGCATGATTATAGTTAACAATACTTATAACGTGTTGCAAAGCGTCACTTAAAATGCCCCTCCTATTTACTGTATAAAAGATCTCTCCATGCCCAGCATGTCAGTTCACATCAAAAAATTATACAGACTCTACTTAAATGCCAAAAAAGAGTTTATAACGAGATAAATAACGAGGGAATTTGTACTGCCATTTTATAAAGGAGAAAGATTTACGGTAAGTGAAAATGTCTGTTCTCTTCTGTAGTGTTTTGTAAAGGTGTTCAATGTAGACATTGTAGCTGCTCTGCAGATATCTTCAGGTGAAGCGTTGGCCTGTTCTGCCCAGGATGTAGCCATAGCTCTTGTAGGATGTGTATTAACTGATACTAGAGACAGAAGACCACAGGAATTAGAAGATAATTTAACTGTTTCCGTAAACCATCTTGTTAATTATGTTTAGAGATCATGTTTCCTTGGGCTGGTTTATAACTGTTAAATATAGCTATAAATGTAATGGCTTAAAATGTAAGATAACTTTATCTGAATGGAAGATGGTACATTCCTCTGATGAAAAAAGGGCTTGGAGTTCCCCAACCCTTTCAGGTGACCTATTTGCTACTAAAAACACTGTTTTCAGTGAAAGAAACTGTAGTGGGATGTCTTCCATTGGCTCAACTGGTGGTTCGCTTAATGCCAGAGATAAAACCCATGAAGGAACAAAAGATTTCCGATGAGGCCTGAGAATTAACATGGCTTGAAAAATCTTGTAATTAATCAGAAGCAAAATCACAGATGAGAAATTGACTTAAAGCCGACAATTGCACATTGAATTGGAAAACACTAAGACCTGACTTAAAAAAAAAAAAAAAAAGTCCTGTAAGAAACTATAAGAAATGCAGAATCTTCTGGGGACGATACCTAAGGGCTATGCAAGATTCTCTCTCCAAGGGCTGTGTTAATGTTGATAGCATGTAAGTCATTCATGCTTCGCCTCTAACACCGAAGGCACCCCCAAGGATGAGCGCAGCTACCGGCGAGGAGGGCCGGCCTGTGTCTCAGCCAAGGAATGCGCCGGTAGTGTTGATGGCGCTGTGTAAATACTATTTTTTGGTTGTTATTATTGTTATGTTTCCCCCCCCTGTATCCCCTCCCTGCCATACTCCGTTACCATTAAGGAAATCACACTTCACACATACTAACACGACCTCATTCAGGAATCATGGATGACACCCTAAAACTTTTGTCTATGAACGTTAAAGGTCTTAACAGCCCTCACAAATGCAGACTAACAGCCCAGGAGATGACCAAATCCAAAGCGGCCATAGTCTCCTTGCAGGAGACTCATTTTTGCACACGCAAACCACCCTCCTTCAAGGTTAGGCAATTTCCCCAGGCCTACCATGCCATGTCACACACCAAATCCAAAGGGGTGTCAGTATATTTCCACAGGGATTGGGTATTCACCCCCACCACACAACATGTCCGTAAAGATGGCAGACTGCTCATACTAGTGGGCTCCTTAAACGGTCTCCAAATTACAATTGTCTCCCAGTATACCACGAATGATAAACAAAAATCCTTCCTGACCATTGCGTTACACAAAATAGGAAAGTACAAATCCGGACACACTATTATTTGCTGTGATTTTAACTGTACCCCGGACCCGCTTATGGACATACAGAGGGTGCATAACCGACCCCCCCAAACATGCGTCGGCCTCGTTAGGCCACCATTTAGCACATCTACTACACTCTCACGATTATTACGATGTATGGCGAAACCTGTACCCTGGCACAAGGGACCACACGTTTTATTCACCAGTACACGACGTACACTAGAATTGACCTCTGCCTCTTTGATAAACGTACACTGCCACATGTCAGAAACATGCATATAGGCCCTATCACTTGGTCGGACCATGGCCCACTGGTGATTACTATGAAAATACCACACCCTGCCAGAGGGAAAGGTGCATGGTGCCTTAATGAAGCCCTGTTAGATAATACACAATATCTCCCCTGACTTCAAGCATCTCTAGATTCTTACTTCGAGGCACATTCACACTGCGAAACTGCGCTTACTACACAGTGGGTGGCCCACAAAGCAGTTATGAGAGGTGAGCTTATCAAGCTAGGAGCCAACACCAAAAAAGCAACAGGCACTGAGCAGGCTAGGTTGACGCGGGAAATTGCTGCCATAGAATCCGCTCACAAAACAAATCCTACTAAGCAGAACCACGAACGCTTACAGACACTTAACACAGAACTAAACGACCTGCAGTTAAAAACAACTGAAAAATACATGCGCTAC